TCAACATTTAATTACAAGAAAACGGCTCGGTAGATTTTCACCTAAAATTAATCAGCATCATTCCCAACTAATATCTTTCGAACAGTTTTTGATTTTTTAAAATCGGTTCGGTAGGATGAGCTTAAATGTGGACGAAAATTTAACACTTTTTTTCAACATTTAATTACAAGAAAACGGCTCGGTAGATTTTCACCTAAATTAATCAGCATCATTCCCAACTAATATCTTTCGAACAGTTTTTGATTTTTTAATATCGGTTCGGTAGGATGAGCTTAAATGTGGACGAAAATTTAACACTTTTTTTCAACAGTTAATTACAAGAAAACGGCTCGGTAGATTTTCACCTAAAATTAATCAGCATCATTCCCAACTAATATCTTTCGAACAGTTTTTGATTTTTTAAAATCGGTTCGGTAGGATGAGCTTAAATGTGGACGAAAATTTAACACTTTTTTTCAACATTTAATTACAAGAAAACGGCTCGGTAGATTTTCACCTAAAATTAATCAGCATCATTCCCAACTAATATCTTTCGAACAGTTTTTGATTTTTTAAAATCGGTTCGGTAGGATGAGCTTAAATGTGGACGAAAAGTTCAACACTTTTTTTCAAATTACGAAGAAACGGCTTGGCAGATCGTTGCACAAAACTGACAAACGATAGTCCTCACCGAAATACATCAAATGGCTTTTAAATTTCTAAAATCGGTTCAGGCGTTTTTGAGAAAACGTCGATCAAAAGTCTAATTTTGACAAATGCCAAAAAGACCATACTGATTTTTGCAAACTTTGACGAATTTTTAAAGCTGAACCAGTTGTCGTAGGGCCGTAATATTTTAGTATGACCTAGAAGACTGTGGTATCTATCGTCAAAAAAATAATCATAAAAATTGTCAAAATTTTTTTTTTTTAAACTTTATTACAAGAAAACGGCCCGGCCGATCTTTACCAAAAACTAATCAGCACGATTCTCAACCAATATCTATCGAACGGTTTTTGAATTTTCAGAATCGATTCAGAATTGCGGGCTAAAACGTGGACGAAAAATTTTTCACTTTTCTGCAATTTACAAAGAAACGGCCCGGCCGATCGCCGCACAAAACTCAGAGACGATAGTCCTCATCGAGATACATCAAATGGCTTTTAAATTTTTGAAATCGGTCCAACCGTTTTGGAGAAAACGTCGATTTACGGCAAAAAATCTGTTCACACACACACACACACACACATACACACACACACACACACACACACACACACACATACTTTTTCCAAATTTGGTCTCATTCGATTCAGAATGGCTCGAAACGTCGAGAAAACATAAAATTAGCGATTCGGATTTTTTGATGAAAACATAAACTTCTCCTTCGGGAAGTTAATAATTTTAGCAAAGTTTGACGAATTTTTAAAATTAAACTACTTGTTGTAAGGCCGTAATATTACAGTAAGTTCTATAACACCATGATGTATATCGCCAAAAAAAGTTCCATGAAAGAAGGATTAAATTTTTTTTTTCAACAGTTAATTACAAGAAAACGGCTCGGTAGATTTTCACCTAAAATTAATCAGTATCATTCCCAAATGATATCTTTCGAACAGTTTTTGATTTTTCAAAATCGGTTCGGTAGGATGAGCTTAAATGTGGACGAAAATTTAACACTTTTTTTCAACAGTTAATTACAAGAAAACGGCTCGGTAGATTTTCACATAAAATTAATCAGCATCATTCCCAACTAATATCTTTCGAACAGTTTTTGATTTTTTAAAATCGGTTCGGTAGGATGAGCTTAAATGTGGACGAAAGTTTAACACTTTTTTTCAACAGTTAATTACAAGAAAACGGCTCGGTAGATTTTCACCTAAAATTAATCAGCATCATTCCCAACTAATATCTTTCGAACAGTTTTTGATTTTTTAAAATCGGTTCGGTAGGATGAGCTTAAATGTGGACGAAAATTTACCACTTTTTTTCAACAGTTAATTACAAGAAAACGGCTCGGTAGATTTTCACCTAAAATTAATCAGTATCATTCCCAAATGATATCTTTCGAACAGTTTTTGATTTTTCAAAATCGGTTCGGTAGGATGAGCTTAAATGTGGACGAAAATTTAACACTTTTTTTCAACAGTTAATTACAAGAAAACGGCTCGGTAGATTTTCACCTAAAATTAATCAGTATCATTCCCAAATGATATCTTTCGAACAGTTTTTGATTTTTCAAAATCGGTTCGGTAGGATGAGCTTAAATGTGGACGAAAATTTAACACTTTTTTTCAACAGTTAATTACAAGAAAACGGCTCGGTAGATTTTCACCTAAAATTAATCAGTATCATTCCCAAATGATATCTTTCGAACAGTTTTTGATTTTTCAAAATCGGTTCGGTAGGATGAGCTTAAATGTGGACGAAAAGTTTTTTCGAATTACAAAGAAACGGCTTGGCAGATCGTTGCACAAAACTGACAAACGATAGTCCTCACCGAAATACATCAAATGGCTTTTAAATTTCTAAAATCGGTTCAGGCGTTTTTGAGAAAACGTCGATCAAAAGTCTAATTTTGACAAATGCCAAAAAGACCATACTGATTTTTGCAAACTTTGACTAATTTTTAAAGCTGAACCAGTTGTCGTAGGGCCGTAATATTTTAGTATGACCTAGAAAACTATGGTATCTTTCGTCAAAAAAATAATCATAAAAATCGTCAAAATTTTTTTTTTAAAAACTTTATTACAAGAAAACGGCCCGGCCGATCTTAACCAAAAACTAATCAGCACGATTCCCAACCAATATCTATCGAACGGTTTTTGAATTTTCAGAATCGATTCAGAATTGCGGGCTAAAACGTGGACGAAAAATTTTTCAACGGCTTGGCCGATCGCCGCACAAAACTCAGAGACGATTGTCCTCATCGAGATACATCAAATGGCTTTTAAATTTTTGAAATCGGTCCAACCGTTTTGGAGAAAACGTCGATTTACGGAAAAAAATCTGTTCACACACACACACACACACACACACATACACACACACACACACACACACACACATACTTTTTCCAAATTTGGTCTCATTCGATTCAGAATGGCTCGAAACGTCGAGAAAACATAAAATTAGCGATTCGGATTTTTTGATGAAAACATAAACTTCTCCTTCGGGAAGTTAATAAATGTTTAAATAAAATGAAAACGATCTAAAATTTGCAACAAAAGTCGATTTTATCTCATTTCACGTTCGAAATATACATTCTTTTTTCTCTTATGCAAGAAATATGAATGAAATTTTGTTCGATCGCCCGAGACACCGAAAATTTTTACAACTGGACATTTATTGGTCATTTGGTCATAAATTGCTCGGTCGCCTGGTTGCCTAGTGGATGGGTAGCATAACGGCGGTTTTCACAAGAAACACACACACAAACATCCATTTTTTCTAAGGTATTCCAAAATGTTCAGAAACCTCTAAAACGTAAAGATATATAAAAAAAAATATTTTCGATTTTTTGCAATTACTATAACTAATTGCCCTACGGGAAGTTAATAAAAATCTAAAAAAATATGCGATTCTGTTACTTACATCTAATTATTAAGATGGAAAATATGGCCATATCTTTTGTGATTGATTGTTGATTTGAATTAGATGCATTATCGAGTAAAATAACCCATTCAGCATCGCTATATATAAGCTTATAAGTATATCAGTATTTTTTAAACTTTCAACTAGTAGGGCGCATGGCATCGTGCCTTAAAGCAAATTGCTGGAACTTCCCGTACCAAAAAAAAATTTTTTTTTTTAAAGATTAACATTTTTGAAAAAAAGTTACTCTGAAAAAATTAGATTTTTGAGAAACTATAAATTTTTGACAAAAATTTACTTTTTTTTTGAAAAAAAGACTTTTTGAGGAAAAGTGTATTTTGAAATATTTTGGAAACTCTGAACTTTTTTTCAAAGCAATCGTATTGCTTTAACTGCATAGAGACAAATATCGAAGCGCGTTAAACAAAATTTATACTTATTGTTAAAATCTCTATAAAATATCTGATAATTTGATGTGCATATGTCTAATGATCATTTTTGACCGCCAGATGGCATTTTTTTTACTTTTTTTACAAGATCTCCGAAACCGCTAAACTTGTCTTCATGAAAATTTGATCAGTTCTTCATCTTGTTAATACAAGTGAATTGCTTTTGAATTATTCAAATCAGACGCTCCGTTCTCTTAAAAACTGAGTTGCCGTTTTTGGAACTTTTTGCCCCATATCTTCGAAATAGATAGACCTGTCTTCGCCAAAAACTAATCAGCACGTCTCCTTATCAATACGAATCGAATGTTTTTCGAATTATTCAAATCGTTTCATCCGTGTTCCCGAAATCGCCAACGAAAATTTGTATACGAACACACATATGCACGCACACACATACACACACACATACATTCAGTTTTTCTAAGGTATGCCAAAATATTCAGAAACCTCTGAAACGTAAAGATATATAAAAATTTTCATTTTCGATTTTTTTGCGATTACTATAACTTACCCTACGGGAAGTTAATAAAAAATGTTCTCAATAAGATATTTGACCACTTGTCGATATAGTTAATGAAATTGTGAATTGTGGTAGGAAAGTGAAAATTAAGAACCCTGTGCATGTGTTTTTTAAACTCGCATTTAAAAAAAAAGAAAATTAATCCAGTAAATTTAGAAATAGGTTTAAAAAAAATCATTTTTTAAATGTTAAATTATGAGTGTTGATGTTGGTGGGTTTCTCAACCCCGTTCAAATTTTATACTCCGAGGAATAATAAAAAAATTAAATGTATTCAAAAAACAAAAATCAATTGAAAAAATAAATATAAACTGAAAATAAATTTTTTCTTAAGTCGTAATGAATAATAAACTAAAATATATTCTATTTAAATTTTATATGAATAAAAAAAAGATATAAGAACGAATATTGTTATTGCATGGAAATGTTATCTGTTTGGAAGTCCAAGCCGGCAGTTACTTGGTTGGATCTGGAAACATCAGCGTAGTCGGTTGGAAATGTTGAAAAGGAATTCGAATACACTGATAACAAAAAAATAACTGGTTGACTTGACACACAATAGAAACTTAATCCACTGATAACATTGAACTGATTGCAAACACTGAAAGGAACTGAAGGTACTGATTGGAAGTAACCGAATGAATGAATTGAACCGAATGCATGTAAACCACGGAATGAATTGACTCGAATCCAAAACTATTTGTGCATCTGCCTTTTTATGAGTCGAAATTGCCCGATTGCGTAATTTTTGAAACGTGTTGTCCGAGTAGAAAATCAAACCTTTTGCAGGTCTGACAACCTATGCAGGTGCGGCGCAAACAATGAGCTATTCATAAGCTCAAAAGAATTCGATCGAACTTCAGTCAAAAACGTTCACTGACAGAAATCGAAATAAAAAATAATGTAATTACTATAACAATGCTTACGAAATAGGGGTTTACCACAATAAAAGGGTGTATATTTAGGGTTATTGGTGTTTCATATGTGCATTATAAAAAAATAATAATTTGCTGAAAAAATAAAAAGTCTTCAGGATGGCATACTCTTACTACTTGGCTTCAATCAAAATATGCAAAAGTTTGTCCGGGGATATACCTAACAGTTTCCTAAATTTTCACGGCGATCGTATGTATGGTTTATGAATGCATGAGAAATATACAGACACGCAGATAGATAGACAAGCATACATTATATATATATATATATATATATATATATATATATATATACTAGATGACCTGACATACGTTGTGCTGTATCCACGTCTACAATTTAAGTTCCAAAATTTTTAATATCCTATCCTATACTTTTTAATATTCTATTCAATGTAGTTCCATTTATGGTTTTAGCATAAGATATATATTCGTATTGGAAACTGCACTTTTTTTATCAGTATAAACAATTCAGGAAGAATAAATTTAGTATCTACGGTAAAAGAACAATATCACCTTTATTATTTCCAACTAGAATAATTGCTTCAATCTTCTATATATATAAAAATAAGTCGGGTTTTCCTTCCTGACGAAATAACTCCAGAACGCACGAACCGATTTCGACAATTTTGCATTCGTTGGAAAGTTCTCGGGCTCCGCAAGGTTTATAGCTAAGAAAATTAGTGGTGCATGGCATCGTACCCTAATGCAAATTGCTGGAACTTCATGCACCGTAATTAAAAATTCGAGTATTAAAAATAATCAATAATTGCAATTGTTTTAAATAATTGCAAATAGATTATCTTCTATCTTCTATATATATAAAAATAAGTCGGGTTTTCCTTCCTGACGAAATAACTCCAGAACGCACGAACCGATTTCGACAATTTTGCATTCGTTGGAAAGGTCTCGGGCTCCGCAAGGTTTATAGCTAAGAAAATTAGTGGTGCATGGCATCGTGCCTTAATGCATATTGCTGGAACTTCACGCACCGCAATTAAAAATTCGAGTAATAAAAATAATCAATAATTGTTTTAAATAATTGCAAATAGATTATCTTCTATATATATAAAAATAAGTCGGGTTTTCCTTCCTGACGATTTAACTCCAGAACGCACGAACCGATTTCGACAATTTTGCATTCTTTGGAAAGGTCTCGGGCTCCGCAAGGTTTATAGATAAGAAAATTAGTGGTGCATGGCATCGTGCCCTAATGCAAATTGCTGGAACTTCACGCACCGTAATTAAAAATTCGAGTATTAAAAATAATCAATAATTGCAATTGTTTTAAATAATTGCAAATAGATTATCTTCTATATATATACAAATAAGTCGGGTTTTCTTTCCTGATGAAATTTTTCCTTTTCAAATATAAAACAAACAAAAAATTTTTTCATCTTTCTCACGAAACCATCTGGTGGCGAGCGCAGTTCGTCGGGTTTGCTAGTAATTTATATAATATATAATAGTCTACTATTTTTATAATCGCGTACCTTATATTAGTTGCTTTTCGGTAATTACAATTTTTAAATTACATTTTTTTCTTACTAATAATGCAATGAACATTATTACTTTAATTAAAATCTTAAGTGAATTATTTTGTAAAATCTAGTTCATATCAGGCTGTTCAATCTAAGATCATAAACTTGCTAAATATTTCATATCCAATGCCAATCAAATGAATTTTTGACACATAAAACAAAATTTTAAATCATTTTTTCAATAAGTAGAAATATTATTTTGTAATTACATAAATTAGTAAAGTAAAGCGAAGTACAACATGCATAAGTTTCCAAAAATAATGTATATGCAATTTTGGACGTATTATGTTATTTATTAAACTATTTATTTTGTTGAAAAAACAAACATATATTTGAAGTTTCATTAGGTGTACCTTGGTTGGTACAACAAGATTTGCAAAGGACTAAGCCAAGACCGCTTAAAGTTATCTTTAAAGACAATAACTTACCAAAGAAAATTAAAGATAATGTCAACTTCAAGAATCTGATTATCACTTAAGATTGGAAATCTAGGCAACAATTTCATTGACAAAGACTAAAAGCTCAGCTACTTAGACGTGAGGAAAAAGATGAAATTAATCTTAAAATTAAATATATTAATGGCGTTCCACGAATAGTTTCTTTAAACTAACTGTGCCCACAGATAGTAATGTATTTACATGTTACTATCAAAATGTTCGCGAACTCAACACTAAAACTTCTGACTGCTTGCTTGCATCGAGTAATCTTTTCCTTTAAATATATATGTATATGTATATATATATATATATATATATATATATACATATATATATAGATTACGTTTATTTATTATTAAATCAATATTAATTTGAAACTCGAAACTCGAAATAATAAATATGAATTATTAACTTCCCGTAGGGCAAGTTATAGTAATCGCAAAAAAATCGAAAATGAAAATTTTTATATATCTTTACGTTTCAGAGGTTTCTGAACATTTTGGCATACCTTAGAAAAAATGGATGTATGTGTGTGTGTGTGTGTGTGTATGTGTGTGTGTATGTATGTATGTGTGTGTATGTATGTGCGGATACAAATTTTCGTCGACGATTTCGGGAACACGGATCAACCGATTTGAATAATTCAAAAAACATTCGATCCGTATTGATAAGGAGACGTGCTGATTAGTTTTTGGCAAAGGCAGGTCAAGCCGTTCCGAAGATACGGGGCAAAAAGTTCCGAAAACGGTAACTCAGTTTTTAAGAGAACGGAGCGTCCGATTTTAATAATTCAAAAAACATTTTATTTATATTGACAAGATGAAGAATCGATACAACTTTCATGAAGGTAGGTCCAGCGGTTTCGGAGATATAGAGGAAAAAGTAAAAAAATGAGCCATTTGGCGGTCAAAAATGATCATTAGACATATGCACATCAAATTATCAGACATTTTATAGAGATTTTAACAATAAGTATACATTTTGTTAACATTCCTATCGGTTCCGTACCAATGCTTATGCGTTAGACAACGACGCGGCGCTTACGCGCTTTGTATTTTGTCCCTATGTAGTTAAAGCAGTACGATTGCTTTGAAAAAAAAGTTCAGATCTTCCACAATATGTCAAAATAAAGAAAAAAAAATTTTTTCAAAAAAAAAAAAATTTTTTTTAAAAAAAATTTTTTAAAAAAAAATTTTTTTTTTTCAAAAAAAACTAATTTTTTGTCCAATTTATAGTTTCTCAAAAATCTTATTTTTTCAAAGTAATTTTTTTTCAAAAATGTTAATCGTTTTAAAAAAAAATAATAATTTTTGGTACGGGAAGTTCCAGCAATTTGCCTTAAGGCACGATGCCCTAATTGCCTTAAGACAGAATTCCACTTACAGCTAGTTTGCTACCAATTTTACCACGTAGTCAAAGCCTTTACTTTACAAAAATAATAACGTGCGGTATTGCGACTTAACTGTTAACTGTGATTGACGAGCATACCCGTCATGGAGAGTGGCATAATGTTGTGTCATGCGTATAAATCAGTCATTCGCCAATGTTTGCGCCAAATCAAAGCAGGCTATATATTGATATAAAAAACATATGTTCACGCTAAATCAAAGCATCCAATTTATGAAAACAAAATAAGAATCAAATCAAAAATTATCATAAAATAAAGTCAATCAATACGATACTTAAAAGTACAAGTACAATTTGAAATTAATTTAAAATAAACACATACGATTTTAATTCAGATGTTTGACAACAAATTGGTCCTTCAAAAAAATGAAATCAACCAATCATCAAAAAGCAGCCAATTTTAAGATGCTTGGAACATTTTGAGGCTATGATGATCTGCAATAAATAGTGGTAAGTGGCATTTTAATGCGGAAATAATATAATTAATCAATAAGATTTAGCGGCATAATTTGAAAATATGTTTTTTCTGACGAAATACCAGATCAAGTTTTTACATATATTGTATAGTGTTATCTTGTATAAAACACATTTCTTCAATGATAAATTAGCTGCCAGTTTTACTGAACATGTCAAATGGTTGTTTGTTTGATGTGATATAATTGGTTTGGTTTTTACACTATTATTGTTCAAAGTCAAATTGAACATTCGTGTCCCTACATAATATTTAATTTAATTTATTCTATATATTGTTTTATACGCATGTAATATGTGCTTATGTTAATAAAAAAAATAATAATTTAGTACTAAAATTTTCAATTTGCTATGATTCACGAATATGATCATTGTGGCACAATTCTTAACTGGTTAAGAAGCTATAAATGGCTAGAATATCTCATATTTGAACAAATATACGAATAATTATATTTGTATGAACAATTGTGCAAAATGATAATATTATGAATAATTCAAAATTTTTGAGAATTCTCAAAAAAATATCGAAGAAAATTAAAACTTGAGGATCAGACAACTGTTTTATTCTTATTATAAAATCCTATATTAAGGAAACTTTTCCTAATTCGTAAATCTGGCTAGGTTATATAAAATAAAATATATCCGTACTGCAAATCTTAACAATATTTTGAAAACGCACAAAATTTTATAAAAAAATCCACATTACTAAATGTATTATGTTACGTGCTCATTGTTTTCTTCCAAAAAGTATTTCTAGT